ATTAAAAATGATCTAAATCACATAGTCATTATTTGCTTATATGTGGATGATATGATGATAATGAGTAATGACATTGCCAACATAAATGCTACTAAGCGTATGCTGACTAGCAAGTTTGATATGAAGGACTTGGGAGTTGCTGATTTAATTCTGGGGATTAAGATATATAAGACTCCTAAAGGTCTGCCATTGTCATAATCTCATTATATTAAGACAGTACTTGAAAAGTTCAAGTACTTAGGGTTTAAAGTTGAAAGAGTCCAATTGACGTGAATCTTGCATTAGCAAAGAACAAAGCCCAAAACATATCACAATTGGATTATGCTCGTGTGTTGGGATGCTTAATGTACATCATGAATTGTACACGACCAGATATAGCTTGTGTTATAAGTAAATTGAGTCGATACACAAGCAATCCAGGTCAATCTCATTGGATGGCAATGAAACAAGTTTCGGGATATTTAGAACATACCCAGGGCTTTGCTTTGCACTACACTAAATATCTTGCGGTGATTGAGGTATAATGTGATGCAAATTGGATCACTGGTTCAGTTGATTCGAAGTCTACAAGTGAATATGTATTCACTATTAATGGAGGAGCGGTATGTTGGAAGTCGTTCAAACAAACTTGTATTACCCGCTCTACAATGAAGGCTGAATTCATAGCCTTAGATAAAGCCAGTGAAGAAGCGGAATGGCTCCGAAATATTTTGGAAGACAGTCCATTTTGGACCAAACTGTTGGCACCAATATGCATACATTATGATAGTCAAGCGGCAATTGGAAGGGCTGGGAGCGTTATGTATAACGGTAAATCTCATCATATACGACGAAGACATAAAACCGTTAGGCAATTACTCTCTAGAGGAATTATCACGATTGACTATGTAAAGTCAAGTGATAATGTGTCGGATCCACTTAAAAAGGCCTAACTAGAGAGGTAGTTGAGAAATCATCAAGGGTAATGGGACTATGGCCGAGAACAAGACATTGTGGCGGTAACTCTACCTAGAATACTGGAGATCCCAAGATCTAGGTTCAAGAAGATCAAACAAAGTTATTAATGACGGTTCAACATTGTCAACTAAACTTTTGGTCCATTCTCGTGATGAAACAATGTTCAGTATCAAGGATAAAGCATTAAGATTTTTTAATGATTTCTAAATTTGATACGGGGTATATCAAATAGTGTATCTACGGAATGACACGTTTAGGAATCACCTATGTAAGTGTGAAGTGTTAGCCGCTTCAAGGATAATTTTGTAAGGCCAGTTCTCTACACGTTTATGAAACCAGGCAGTATTCATGGCTGAAACGAACACAACAATGAGAACCAAAGACAGTTAAGGGTTGGTTGTGTAACTTATGGTTGTCTAGGTATATACTAAAGTTCGACGGTTCGAAGATATCTAATCTACCAATTGACCAAGTATATCCGACATAAGTTCACTACGGAAAGTTCAAAGGGAAACCTACTTATCCAGATGCAATTAATCCTTGCTTGCAAATCACACAGTTTTTCATGCATATTTCTGTGATATAGCCATTCCCCATTCATGTGGGGGATTGTTGGGTTATTAAGCTTAATATAGCTTAAAAGATGGTGAATGGAAAATGGAGGGAAAATGAAATATTTGAGTTTCATTGGAGATTCCCTCCTTGATGAAGGGACATTGTCCCATATTGGAAGAGGAAGGGGTTTTTAATGGGTATATAAGCAATTGCTCTTCTTCTAGCTCTTAAAGAGTTGAGAAGAAGACAAGTCTCGCGCCGTCGTCGTCTTCGGCTTCGGCTTCGGATTCAGATTTGGTCAATCGATTGATTGATTAATTTTTTGGACCAAATTTATTTGTTAATAGTAAATATTAACAGAAATGTTATTAAATATCCGTTTTAATAACAGAATATTAATATTAAATCCAACAATATTAATATTAAATCCAATTCCGTTATTAGTTTTCTGTTTTTCAATTTTGTAATTGAAAATTAATCTCCCTCTTCAATTCTCCCGGTTTATTGTTGAGTAAATAGCTATTTATGTTATGGCATTTATGCTATGGCCATTTTGCATAAACAGCCATTTTGAAGAGTTGCACCTCTTCAGTTTTCAGCCCAACATTAGCGATAAATACAAGTCCATTCTCTCAGAATTTCCATACTATTTTTTGAGTTTCTCCTCCTTCTTCTGCATTGTTTTAACTTCAAAGAAAGAAACAGTAAGTGTGATTTGCTACCAAAATTTGTGTTCGCTGAAACAGTGGGGGTTTGAAGTACCACTACACCAGTGTGTAATTCGTTTTATCCTGGGAGGAAATAATCCATAACTTTGGGTACTAGGAGAGGATTAAATTCCTTAAGGAAACACTGTGAATTCAGTAAGTTTGGATTAACTTTTGTTTCGTTTATATTTCTGTTTATGTTATTTTATTTTATCCAGAATTATTTTACAAATACAATTTCCTAACAAAAATAAAGCTCAAATTTTTCTTCTTTTCCTCCTCCAATTATGTCCCTTTACTTTTTCTTTTTGTTTGAGATTACATCACACCCAACTGAAACATGATTTAATTCGTGGACCAATAAGCAGTGGTCATGTAACAGTATATTGCCTTATGGAAGTTCTGTTACGTTTTAAAAATTGTCAATCTTTATCAAAAATGATGTTTGCCGAAGGACATTTTCCCATTTGTTTAACTACTTCACTTGCAAATAATCGCAAAGCCTTTGCAAATCACTTGTTCGTATAAGCTTAAAGCCTTATACGAACAGAGGCAGCCACGAAATTATGTGGAAAGTTCTAGGGTTCTGTATAAATCACTAATTTTTGAACTCAGGTATATGAAATTTCCTATTGTCAATTATCCTACAGTATAAGAATTAAATAGTTAATTCCTTTCTTTCTCCATATCAACAACAAATTTTATGTTTAGGTGTTTAATTTTAAAATTAATTAAAATACACTGACTATTGTAGAATCAATTGTTTGACGGGTATAAATTGGACCGGGGTCTACGTGTTGGCTCGAGGAGTTTTGAGGTGAGTGGATATAACTCTTTATTAAAGTGGTTCTACTCACAAAAATACGCCCACAAAATGTTTGATAAAATGCTTTAAAGAGTCAACATGTGCTCAATTGGAACAAGTGAATACATGTTACTAAGTATATTCTAGTTAAAGCTTTTATATTTTACTCAAGAAGTATGATTGTCTATTGTTCATATTTTTATGCTTTATTACATGATCTTACATGTTAAAGTTTCAAGTGTTATATAGAACTTTTAGAAACACTTTGAGTAATTTTATTTCATGCTTATGTTATGCATACACTCAAGAATATTATTATGAATACTGATAGATCACTTTCAAACAAGATTTAGACTTGAAAAGTCACAAGAAGAAGTTATAGAAAGATAAGATTTTTGGGAGTATCCTCTATTCTAAGAAGGGGTAATCGTCCAGGCCGAGGGTCCTGACCAAGGCACTGACTTCCTGAAACTACTTGTGCCAAAGTAGGGAGCACACGAGTCGAGGATCTCGTTGCTATGAATTTACTTATCCAAGCTAAGGTATGATATATTAGCGGTGAGAACCATGAAGCGAATACCTCGTGGATTAGGTCTATTCGATCAGGCTGGGATCGAACCCGTGTCGATCAAACAGTGACTAAGATAGAAATAAGTCAGGTTAGTGGGAACTCCCGAAGTATAAAGTGAAGTATTTTTTTTATAAGAAAGAAAAAGAAAGAATTTCTTTTTGAATATTTATAAACTGCTATTATGCAATTATTTTAGAATTGTTCTTAGAAGCTTTATGTTTTCTATGCATTTAGAATCTTTTGCTCGTAATGTATATTGTATTAAAGTTTTTTTCCCTATCGTTGAGACTCGTTGAGTACAATGGATGGTACTGACGTTCTCTTTTGGGAACTTATGTTGGTCTATGGTACAATGTAGGAACCGGTTTTGTAGGCGAGCAGGCTACAGTTTAGGACTTCTCTCTCTTCTAGTGCTATTGGTGAGCTCCACTTTGTTCTTGGAGTATTCCTTTGAGTCATATTTATGTAGTTATATTTCTTTTTTACTTGGAGAACTAGCCAGACAATCTCATGTCCTAAGCAGTGTGTCAGTTTAACAGTAGAGGCTTCATAGACTCAGTCGGTGCGTTAAGATTCAGATATTTTTGAAAAGAACTTAGCAGTATTTCAGTGGTTACTACGAATAAAGTTTTGGAGTTGATTTATTTTAGATATTTAAATTAATTAAAAGTCTTCGGTTAAAGTATGCCTTGTTGAATATAAAGTTTGAAGTTATAATAGATTTGATAAGTGCAGATGGTTCGCTCGATCAAGTTTAGTGATCGGGTGCGGGTCAAGGCTTGTTCAGAAAATGGATTGTGATAAACTTGATATCAGAGCCATAGGTTTATGGAGTCCTAGGGGTCTATGAACCCGTGTTAGTAGAGTCTTATTTATAGGTATGAAGCGCAGTATACTTATAAATAGGAGGCTACCAGCATTTAGAAAAGTCTCATTTTTTTCATACTTTAGATCGTGCAGTAGAGCCTATCTCTTAGAAATTATCTAATGTATTCCTTTCTCCAAAACTCGCAGAAATGGCTCGTACTCGCAACTCTGACACTGACACTTAGGATGCTGCTCAAGAAATTATTTCTACTATTGTGGCTCAAGGTAGAACTAAGAAGGCTTCAATTTAGAAAAGGAAGAGTAAATTCACAAATGGGGTTTAAGTACCCGGGTTGAACATGAAGAAGGGTTAGAGCATGATGAGCAAGTATCTCAGGATCCAGTGCCACACTTAATAGCAGTTCCGGATCAGACAGCTACATTTCCAGAGGTGGGTCAGATGTTTAATGTTGTCAATAGTGCTATAGAGATATTTAAAGCCTTTATGGCCAACGAGAATGAGAGAAGAGATGAGATTCCACCTCAATCAAATAGATAAAGCAATTCTGAGTCCTCAAGAATGAATGAATTTTTAAAGTTGAGTCCTCCATTGTTCCATGGTACTGTAGTTGATGAAGATCCAATATTGTGGCTGAAGGGTGTCAAGAAAGCCCTCCAAACGATGAAGGCATTTGATGATGAAGCCGTAGAGCTGGCTGTCTACCAACTTAGAGATGTGGCTAGCACTTGGTTTGAGATGTGGGAAAAGGAAAGGGATGAAGATGATGGTTTATCTACTTGGGAAGAATTTGAAGAGGATTTCATGGCTAATTTTATACCAGAAGAGGATAGGGAAGCTAAGGCTACAGAGTTCGACCAGCTCAAGTAAAGGAAAAAAAGTGTGCTAGAGTACTACATGAAATTCATAAGTTTGGCTAAGCATGCTCCTCACATGGTTAAGACAGAAAAAGCAAAGATTCGCAGGTTTGTTGGCGATTTAGCTTACCACATTAAGGATACGACATCAGCTGCAGCGGTAGGAATGACAACTTTCTCCTCTGTTGTGGGATTAGCCAAGCACTTAGAAAAAGACAGACAACAAAGGAGAGAAGAAAGAGAGCATAACAGGAAAGCCCGGATAGCGGGAACATTTAATGGTATATCCAGCGGAGGTGGAACGGGTTCCTCCAATAAGAAGTCCTTAGCACCAACTCAGTCCAGTCATCAGTCAGGTAGTGGGTCTTTCTTCAGACGTACACAAAGTTATGGAAACCAGTTTAGCCAGAATCAAAATTTTAGGACATCATCCTCACATGGCCAGAGTCATGTTGATCAACATTCACCACAACAAGGTCTTTATGGAACAAGTAAGCAGCAACATTCAGGTCAGTGCAAGCTCCGGTTTCATGGTTGCTATCATTGTGGAAACATTGGTCATATATAGGCCAACTGCCCAAGGTTGCCACGTAATTTCAGTGGGGGATAAACTCGTCCTTCTAGTTCCCTAGCTACTACAGTTACACCACCTCAGGCTCGTAGTTCTCATAATCAAATCAGCCATGGGGCAGGCAGCGGTGCAGATCAAGTTACTCAGGGAGGGGGACAACCCGGTTTGTTTGCTACACTTGATCGTCAGAGTATAGAGGCATCTGCAAAGGTTATTACAGATATACTTATAGTTTCTCACATAATGCTTATGCCATAATTGATCCAGGTTCAACGTTTTCGTATTTGACTCCATACTTTGCAATTAACCTTGGGCTAGAATCTGAACAACTTAGTGAGTTATTCCTAGTATATACTCCAGTTGGAGAGTTAGTGGAAGCCACAAGAGTCTATGGAGGTTGTATAGTTTCCATCCAAGGTCGCAAACACCGAGGCCGATCTCAAAGAGTTAGAAATGGTTGATTTCGATGTAATCATGGGTATGAATTGGTTGTCTTCCTGCTATCCCATGTTAGATTGTCGTGCCAAGATAGTGAGGTTCCAATTTCCAAATGAAGAAGTCTTAGACTGGAAGGGTAGTTCAGCATTGCTTGCAGGCAAGTTTATTTCTTACCTTAAGGCACAACGAATGATCAGTAAGGGGTGCCTTGCCTAATTGGCTAACATTATTAATCCAGAATCAGAACCACCAGCTCTTCAGTCTGTGCCAGTTGTTAGAGAATTTCTAGAAGTTTTCCCAGATGACTTCCTCCTGAAAGAATCATAGACTTTGGCATCGATCTCATGTCAAGCACTCAGCCCATATTTATACCTCTTTATAGGATGGCTCCGGCAGAACTTAATGAGTTGAGAGAACAGTTGAAAGACATTCTTGACAAGGGCTTCATCAGCCCGACTATTTTACCATGGGGTGCCCTGGTCCTATTTGTCAAGAAGAAAGATGGGTCTCTCAGAATGTGCGTCGATTATCGGCAGTTGAATAAAGTTACCATTAAGAACAAGTACCCTCTGCCAATAATTGATGATTTATTTGATCAACTTCAGGGTGCAAAGTACTTTTCAAAGATAGACTTGAGGTCGGGGTACCATCAGTTGAGAATAAGAGAGGAGGATATATCTAAAACAACCTTTAGAACTTGCTACGGGCACTATGAATTTCTAGTGATGTCCTTTGGGTTGACAAATGCTCCAGTTGCATTCATGGACTTCATGAACAGAGTTTTCAAGCCATTCCTTGATACCTTTATTAACATGTTTATAGATGATATTTTGATATACTCTAAGAGCAAGAAATATCATGCAGAACACCTCAGGATAGCCTTGCAGACCTTGAAGGAGAATGAGCTTTATGCAAAATGTGAGTTTTGGTTACAGTCAGTGGCATTCTTAGGCCATGTGGTATCTAGTGAAGGCATAAAAGTAGACCCTCAGAAGACACAAACAGTTAAGAACTGGCCAAGGCAAACAATGCCAACCGAAATCAGGAGTTTCTTGGGATTAGCTGGCTACTATAGAAGGTTTGTAGAGGGAATTTTCTCACTTGTAGCCCCATTAACTGAGTTGACTCAGAAAGCAGTTAAGTTCCAGTGTCAGACGCTTATGAGCAAATTTTTCAAGAGTTAAAGAAAAGGTTGACCACTGCACCTGTGTTAACCTTACCGACAGGTTCGAGTGGGTTTACAGTGTATTGTGATGCCTCCAGAGTTGGTCTCGGTTGTGCTCTTGTGCAAAATGGAAAAGTTATTGTTTATGCTTCCCGCAGTTAAAGAATCATGAAAAGAACTACCTCACACATGACTTGGAGCTTACAGTAGTGGTGTTTGCATTAAAGATATGGCGACACTACCTTTATGGAGAGTATTCTGAAGTGTTTACAGATCATAAAAGCCTCCCGTACATTTTCAAATATAAAGAGTTAAATTTGAGACAGAGGAGGTGGCTCGATCTATTGACGGATTAGACATCAATATTCTTTATCACACGGGCAAAGCTAATATGGTAGCAGATGCACTTAGTAGGAAGTCAATGGGCGTCTTGGCCCATCTTGCAGTACAAAGGCAAACTTTAGGTCGAGAAACTCAAAAACTGGCAAATGATGGAATTAGATTGGATAAGACCGAAGAAGGAGGTATAACTACTTATGCCTTAGCGTAATCCTCTCTAGTTACACATGGTAAGGCTAAGCAAGACGAAGATCCGTACTTAGTGAAGTTAAAAGAAGGATTTAGAAACAAAGAAATCATTACTTTCACTCTAGGAAGTGATGGAATTTTGAAGTTGAATGATTGGTTATGTGTGCCTGATGTAGATGGTCTTAGGAAGGCCATAATGGAAGAAGCTCACAGTTCGAGGTACTCTATCCACCCAGGTGCTACCAAAATGTATTTGGACTTGAAAGAGTTGTATTGGTGGAAAGGCATGAAGAAGCAAGTAGTAGATCATGTGGCCAAATGTTTGAATTTCCAGCAAGTCAAAGCCGAGAATCATAGGCCTGGTGGCCTAGCTCAAGACATAGAGATGCCACAATTGAAATAGGAGATGATTAATATGGATTTCGTAGTAGGTATGCCTCGCACATACTGTAAGCATGATTTAATTTGGGTTATTGTATACCGATTGACAAAGTTCTCTCATTTCCTACTAGTGAAGACGACAAATTCCGCAGAGCAGTATTCGCAGTTGTACATCAAAGAAATAGTCTGATTGCATGGTACTCCAGTTTCAACCATATCTGACAGAGGCCCTTAGTTTACGACGCATTTCTGGTAGGCATTTCAAAAAGGATTAGGTACCAATGTCAACTTGAGCATTGCTTTTCATCCACAGACCGTTGGTCAAACAGAAAGGACCATTCAAACTCTCGAAGATATGATGTGAGCATGTGTTACAGATTTTGGAGGTAATTGGGATGATCACTTGCCACTTATAGAATTTGCTTACAATAACGGCTATCAGGCCAGCATTAGTATGGCTCCTTATGAAGCATTGTATGGGCGAAGATGTAGGTATCCAGTGGGTTGATTTGAACAAGCACAGGTGTCGTTGATTGGTCCAGAGTTTGTTTGTGAGGACTTAGAGAAAGTCCATCTAATCAGAGAAAGACTGAAAATAACTCAGAGTCGTCAAAAGTCCTATTCTGATAAGAGGCATCCTGACTTAGAGTTCATGGTTGCTGATAAGGTATTTTTGAAAGTTTCACCAATAAAAGGGTTATAAGGTTTGGTAATAAAGGAAAACTTAGTCCTAGGTTTATCGGACCTTATGAGATTATAGAAAAGAAGAAAAAAGTGGCTTATGAACTAGCGTTGCCTGTTGAATTGTCCTCTGTTCATCCTGTCTTTCATGTATCTATATTAATAAAGTACATTCATGATGAGTCGCATATAATGTCTGCCGATACCATAGAAATTAAAGAAGGTTTGACTTATGAAGAGATACCTATAGAAATTCTTGACAGGCAAGTAAGAAAGCTGAGAACAAAAGATATAGCATTGGTAAAAGTTTTATGGAGTAATCATGATTCAAAAGAGGCTACGTGGGATGTATAGGAAGATATGAAGAAGAAGTATCTTTATTTATTTGAGGGACAAGGTCTGTGAACCTAGGTTTGGCTTGGCATTTATATTTCATTTATTAAGTACAAGTTAACATGTGTTTATGTCCTTGCTAGATTACACTTTTTTGTTGAAGTAATTTAGTTTCTGTTAGAGTATATTTAGTTATTAAATAATCCAGTACCAATCCAAAGTACATTAAATTCATTAAAGTGATTTACATTTGCTGAAGTATTGTGCTTTAAATTTTGGTTTGTTATTGGTGTACCTCCTTGCCGGAGAGTGAATAGTTAATTTATGAGTTGTGTATGGTGCCTATGAAGGGCCTGTTATGGTATATTTGGTTTTTGTTGGTGTAGTTGTGGTATTGATGGCAGGGATTTCTTTTGAATAGTCCAATTTACAAGGGAGACTCTGCCGAAAGTTTTGAAAATTTAGGGAGTTAGCAAAAATTTTGAGTCCCTTAGTAGTGCTAAGAAAACTTAAGAAGTTCAAGGATTCAAGGAGTGATTATTAGCTTGAGAATAAGGCCCTAGCAACATTCGAGGACGAATATTTTTAAAGAGGGAAGATTGTAACACTCCTCAAATTTATAAAAGTTTCAAGACACGCTAAATATAAAATTTAATTTTCCCCCTTAAATTATGCTTCTATTACAGACTTAAACCCTTGTGATTGATTTTGAGTTACTTCTCTATTTATAAATAATTGGATAAACGATTAGGGAAATATTAATAATTTTAATGTTATTAATTATTAAAAGTATGTATAATTAAATACTAGGTAAGTTAAGAAATAATGGCAAACAAATAAAAGAAGGCGTGACAGCGTTAGCCCATAAAGGGCTGTGGAAGGAAAAGAATTAAACAAAAGGCATTACAAAATAAAA